ACCCATCTTTTAGGCGCTCGGCAAACTTTGGAAACTCTATTTCATACCTAAACTAAATCTGCTGCGAGGAGAGTGTGAGGGTAAAGAAACCAGTAAAGTTTAGACCCCTGTATTTATGGGGCTCTGTTTCAAGGACCACTGGGTATGTACTAGAGGACTGCATGAATTCATTCAAAACGGCTTATGAATTGTTCGTATACAAAATGAATGAATGGTTTTGGCTTCAAATTTTTTCGAATTTTAGTGAATACGTATTCTGATATGTGTGTTGACACAACAATATTCAAACAAAGTGAAAATCATGTGAAAATAAGTTGAATTGAAATATGCGAAAATTTTGTGTATGTTTTTGTATATATTTTTTTTTTGTATTTAAGTATTTGTATCTGTACCCTTTAAGTCGGTTTAGCTGAAGCATGGCGAAAGCTTCAAAATGTAAAGTTTCATGGTCGATCTGCTAGTCGTAGATAATAGGCAATCAACTGAGCTTTTCAAGCTCACCAGGCCACTATCTCCGCCCGCTTTTGTTCTATGTTTGACTCTGAATGACTCAATTGCGAGTCAGACGCACTGTCTATGTTGCCTCTTAAATTCATAGATTTATTAATTTTACGTGAGTACATACATATATAACAATTATAACTTCATTTTAAATTCGCACAACTCTTAGCCAACGATAAGACGTGAGAGACTTACCAGTCCTACAATTTCGAAGTGTCAAAGCACAAAACCGTAATAATTATAAAACCAACAATAACACTTGACAGGATATAAAGCGTTCAAGACCATATGAGCACTTGCGCATAATTTTGAATATTACACTTATATATATGTAAATATACACATATGGGAGTGTGTGTTTAACGTATGCGATTCACACGTCAAGGCATTAACATTTCGTCGCTTTGAAGTTAAATTTGCTGGCTAAAGGCCTTCCGGCGGCATTGCCACATACGCACGCACACTCTCAAACATCATCACCTCAAGTGACGCCATTATGTGGCATTGTGTGAAAACTTTTCTAAGGCTTTGGAGCTTTCTCTAATTAAACAGTCGAAAACAAAGCAACGGCAACAGAAGGTGCTTCAAATAACAAACAAACAAATGCAGATGCCATACTTTTGTGCGCGAACATACATATGTACATATGTATGTAGGTATGTTTTTAGGATGTATGAAAAGCATGAAAAGCGCGCCAAACAGTGTGAGAAGTGGTAATGTGTGGTAGTGTGCGTATAGGAGGTGACTTTTACATTCGAACCTCTGCTGCTGGATATAGCCTTATCATAGAGTTAAGCACTGATTCGAATTCTTGATGCCTCCTGTGCTTGTGTGCGGGAGCGTTTTTGGCAAAGTGAGGAAGGATTGCTTGTGATTTTAATTCGATTAGACAGAAACAATTAACGTATTAACGCCTCTTTAGTGCAACGGCAGCATTTTGAATGTTTTGAGAATGCATAGTGTGCGGGTGGACACGTTATGTACATACAAACACACATACATACATATACATTTTAGCTAATGGGAAATTTTACATTTTAGTTGGCGGCTAATTTTACGCCACGTTTAATCTTTTGTGTGCACCAACCACTATTTGCACATTTTCGCGAGGATTTATGAATTTGCATGCAGACAAGTGAAAATACCTAAATGAATGTAAATATATATGTACATATGCAAGTATGAACATGCCAACAGTGTGACTTTGTACGAGAATGAATTCGCGACATTTGTACGCTAATGAGTTTTTAGTTTAAGTTAAATGGCTGCGAAGTCGGACTTGCATTAATTAATTACGGTGGTAAGGTCCTTTCGCGAAATGAGAGATTTAAACTAGAATTACCATTCCATACTACTAAAGTCGAGGATATCACATACATATAAGTTATGGTCACGATTGGAGTCGGTTAAGATGTCTTCATTGGGTACAGATTTGCTTTCTACATTCGAGGACCACCCTAATGTATATTTTATATTAGGGTGGTTCGAAAAAAATTCTAGCTAACCACAGAACTGTAGAACATCGAATATAAAAGGTGACCCGTATTTTGAAATCGGTTAACATTTAACAGTGCCGCCGGTACTTTGTGGGTGTGGGAGTCCATGTATTTCATATGGGGAAAATGCATTTTTTCGTAGAATTGCTATAAAATCTTTGAAAAGAAATATTTTTTGATCGAACAAGAATATTTCATTTCAAAAGATAGTATTAGGCGCTACTACTATCACCAAGTTCCTAGATGCATTCTATGCACTGCTGCATAATGCCTACCCACTCCAATAAATATATTTTTTTTTATATAAAAACATACAAACATACTGGTTTCCTCTCTCACTGAGTTATTCAAGAGTTATGATGCAAATTTAATTCCAAAGTTTTTTTATTACTTTTTTTCTAAAACCTGTGTGATGTGGTTATGAACACATACAATAAAAAATTTTCGTAAACAATAAAAAAAAAATTAAGACAAGCTTTTATTAGTGGTGAATAAGAAAAGAAAAATCGACCCCGTACCATCTAACGACTAAATTTAACTTTTTATTTTTTTTTTAATCATATCTTTTCATTTAAGTAATGTTAAATATGAACCAAATCGGACTAATACGGGGTTTTTCAAATATCTCGACACCTGCGCCACTTAACGGATTAATACGTTTTGCATTGTCATCGGGAATTTGGTTAACACTTGATTGCAAGATTCGATTACACACAGGTGAAACTTGATAATGGCTTGTAATGAGAGATATAATATAGTTAAATATTGACGCCTGAGTGGAGGATCGATCTATCTCGGCAGCCAGTTCAAAAACGTCCTATCTCAGAAAACTATTCAAGAACACCAAATTTCAAAATTTGATTAAAGAACATTCTATCTCAGAATTCAATTGAGAAACGCCCTATCTCAGCACATTTTCAATACACTTCCAAGTTGGATAAGCCGCTTTTGAACCGAATTCCGAGATAGGGCGTTCTTCGACCAAATTCTGAGATAGGACGTTTTTCAATAAAATTCTGAAATAGGGCGTTCTTGAACTGGCTGCCCGAATAGATCAATCTTCCACTCAGTCATCGATATGCATTGTATTTGAAGATTTTTGAAGGAAAATATTCTTATTCGATTATTTATTTTTAACGATTTTACAGCGAATCTACGAAAAAAGGTATTCAAAATAAAAAATAAAACAGGTCTAATTATAATAGTTTACCAAAATTCTAGAAAATGGCAGCAAGAAAATTCCAAAACGTAGATTTCCCTGTGTACCACCCTAATTCATAAAGAAAATTTTACTCAAGTAAAGGTGACTAGATATATAGTGGTATTTTTTTTTCAGGACATGCCATCCAAGAACCCGATAATTCTGAGGTATCACTTCTAGCCCTTTAAGGGGGGTTTTTTTCAAGTTGATTGTGATAGCGTACTACACTCAAGTGGTCCCTTTGCAAACAGGAGACGTCCATTTTGTTGTCGAATTTCGGTACTGCCACTAAGAACTACTTGATTGGACGTTTATTCGCTCTTTCATTCTCTTCGTTATACCTCCTATATTATAGGGCCAATAGCAGGCTATGATATTATATATATGAGAAACGCCTGCACCAGGGACCGAACATAACAGTTATTGATGAAAACTGTCATGAAAAAATTCACTATGAAGGAAATGTTCTACAACTAAGTGAAACATACCAATCGATTTCGTTTTGCACCGAGACTCAAATTTGAAAATAAATTTTTATTTGCAATTTTTATGCAAAATTTAAAAAATAACAATTATATTTGATTTTTATATTATATGGCTTAGATAACAGTTATTGAAGAGTTTTATTTATAAAAGTCATCAATAAAAATCAGTCAGTGACTTTTACTTTTAAAAGTCATTAATATAAATCAGTGACCGACTTTTATTTTTTAAATCAATCATATAAAAGTCATTAACATTTTTCGCAGTTAAGAAGGTGTTGGAAAACAAAAGTTTACTACGACTTATTCAAATGACTTTTATAAGTATGATTGAAAAAATAAAGATCAGTGACTGATTTTTATTTATGACTTTTATAAATAAAAGTCTTCGATAACTGTTCTTTAAGACATATAATTTAAAAATCAAAAATAACTGTTATTTGCAGATTATTTAAATAAAAATCAAAAATAATTGTTATTTTCGATTTATAAAATAAAAGTCAGAAATAACGGTTATTTAAAGAGTAATTAAATAAAAGTCAAAAAATAATTGTTAAAGAGTGATTTTTTTAATAAAAGTTTTAACTGTTACGGTCCCTGACCTGCACGAAGTACCCTTCTTCTGTGATGTCTCTGCCACAAATGCCTCAAACGAAATCCCATTCGATTTTGAACCGGTGTAGGTAAACTTTTAAGCTACCAAGGCCACCTGGGAACGGCGTCAAGTGGAAGTCTACTTCTCCATGTGTTCTACTAAGCAAACAATTCAAATACCAAATGAAACGGCGTGTCTAGCGACCATTAACTGAGTTGGCCTACCTCCCTTGATACCTTTGGACAACAGTTTCCCGCACTTTATACCATAGGAAATCGTTTTGAACGCTTTGCCTACACGAAGCGCATATAAGCTCAACTTTGAGTTTACACCTCGAGTATTCATACGTATGTAGGACGAATCCTTTGTACCAAATGCATTCCTGTTTGCATAGTTATTCCAGGGTACATTTTAATGACTCGGAGGTATTTTTTAACCGGCCCGGTTCTGACTACGGAGTACTTCCGGTCTCCTGCTGCTAGAGATAAGCTAGAGATAAACACATACTCAGTCTTCTCCTGCGAGAGCTGGAGGCCGTACTTCCTAAGCCACGACTTGACAATTGATTTCTTATTGTTCGCTGCATAGTTAGAGCTGCACAGTTCATACGAATATCGATAAATAAAATCCTCGCAATAGCCACTTGCATACTTATTTTCAAAAATCGAGTTAGTTTCTTAAAATTTATTGCTTTCAAAAATGTTTTTTTTTTCTTTTACTTGCAGAATTCATTCAGCCGCAACATATCTGGCCTTACCTGCAACAGAACTTCATTCACCATGCCCACTTTCCACATCCCGCTTTTCTGACACACCACCAGCACACACATGCCCTACCACATCCACATCCACATTCTCACCTCCCGCCACACCATCCACACCTGTCGACACATCAGTTGAACCCCATCATCGGCGCCGCCAATGGCAATAGTTGTCAGCCGCAAACCGCAGCGTCGTCGTCGTCACCTGGCAGCACAATCAGTGATAGCGACAATCACTCCACCGGCACCGGCGGCAGTGGCAGTGGCAGTGGTAGTGGTAGTGGCAGCAACAGCAATAGCAACAACATCAGCACGACAATCGATGGCCGGCCATATGAAGGTGTCGGTGGTGGTCACAATGACAGTGCCATCGAGGATAATAATAATCGAAGACTAAATTTGCCATCGGCTCAGGAAAAACAACAGCAACAGCTGCCAACACACCTGCAACAACAACAGCAGCAACATTCGGCAGCACACCAGCTGCAGTCCCACATGCCGCCTCACCACTCGCCGCTGCCTGGCCAACCGACAGGCCACCACCAAGTGATAGCAAAGCCCCTGCCCAGCCGCCCAACACCCTTCCTGCCGCATAGCCTGCAACATCCGCATCTGCATTCGCTGTTGGCGCATTGTCGAAATCCCTATATGAGTGGTGAGTATTGTTGTTGTTATTATTGCATACGTACATATGTAGATGTCGTCCAACTATGAGTAGGGAATTGCATGGATAGGGGCATACAATTGTGGGCATTTGCCGCATGCCGCAATTTGTGGCATGGCAGTAATAGAATTTGACTAATGTCTGCAACTGGTGTTGTTGCACTTGTCAACACATCGCCACACGTTGGTGCATGCGGAGTGTGTTTGCGTGTGGCGCATGCAACAATTAAATGCAACAGTAATCAACTCCACTCCATTCCGCTTTTCATAGGCTCCCACTGCGCTCGACTATTGTTGCATTGTTTGAACAAGTAAACGCGCAACTTCCGTTTCCGTCTCCGCTTTCAATGTGAAAACTCATACCTTCACCTCTCTTACTTTGCTATCTTTGCAGTTGGAGCACAAGTGTTTCCCCTGCCACCTGGTCAAGGCTTCCCCTGGGCGCATTCAACGCGTGGCAAACCTCGACGAGGCATGATGCGGCGTGCCGTCTTCTCCGGTAAGTATTAGGGGGGTGGCCTTAGAGCTGAGCGCAGTATTATTTATTTGGCATTTTCTTGTAATTTATTATGGTCATTTCGATTTATTTACATTCTTGCATAGACTCGCAGCGCAAGGGCTTGGAGAAGCGATTTCAGCAGCAGAAGTATATTAGCAAGCCGGATCGCAAGAAATTGGCCGAACGACTGGGCTTGAAGGACTCTCAGGTTAGTACAAAGACCATTTCAGATACATCGTATGTATGTTTTTTAATTGAGTATTTTGATGCAAAAAAAATTTATTGATTCCTATTTATTCAAACTGCATATCAACATTTCTTGGAATCACATTAGTGCAATTAAAAAGCAATAAATATTCATTTTCATTTTGCCAGTAACAAAGTACGTATGTACGTATGTAGATGTGTATGTTCTTTGTAGTCACAATAGCAAATAAATATTTATGTGCTTTACATGTGAACATATATGCACACTAGGGTGGACCTTAAAAAATCAAATGAACAATTTTTTCACCCTCACCTTCTAAATCGGTAATACCACGGTCCCAGATATCACAAATAAATTTTGGTCTCGATTGGAGACGGTTAATTCCTGTTGCACAGGGACCCATTTTCATATTCCTCTATGGGGGAAAAAAAAATTAAATTTAACTTTTTTCATCTACTACCCAAAATCGATACTACTAAAGTCGAGGATAATACGCCTTCATAGGGTAAGTAGGGTTTGACCCCTGGTCATCGACGTTTGGGTTGAGGCTTAGGAAATCTGATGTAAAAATTTGCTTCCAATATTTAAGGACCACCCTAATGTACATACTTACCCAGCTATGTGTTATCATTTTCTGTAACACATTTGATTGAACACTTGCTTATGAATTATACTATTGTGCTCAATTTCAAAGGTTGACAGCAAAAAACTTAATGACTTAGTAATTTTTAATTACACATACCAAGTACTATTAAGTTGTAATGCGCTAATATAAAGATTGTTATGATTAGTCTTGACGACTCAGCACAAACTGAAATTTAACTGCTAACTGGAAAATTCATGAAAATAAAAAAAATTGGATTAGGGTTGTATGCCTCTTGAATCAATATTTAAGGGAATAACGGTTTGTTCACAACAAAAGGCATCCTACGAAGGTCACATTCTCCTATTTGGCCAAACAGCGACCAGATCCGGCATCAAAAATGGTAAGGCTTGTTGTTGTGAAACTGCAAAAAAAAAGTTTACCAAAGAGGTCTTGGGGAATCAGAGGAAGTGACAGTCATAAGAATTGGGTTGTTCGTGTTACGTGGATTCGATTGTCTCGCCAACGGCGTAATGAGTAATAGTGCTGTAGAATTAGATTTAGCGGTCGAAAGATCATAGGTATTTAATATAGGAGTGAGAGGGGGAGTAAACCTTTGCTAACTCTGTACGGGAACATTCAAGTAAATATTTCGACATCGAGGAATTCTGTCTTTCTCTAATATAAAATTGCCAATTAACGCTATTGATTCTCAGAAATCCACCTTAGTCTCCCTTGTCGCGCTCAGATCCTATGTTAGGAAACATAAGAAGAGACTTTCCATAACACTGAGTTTCTTTAAGAGGAGGAAGAATCAAAAGCCTTACCCTGTCAGTGCGGGAGTTTAACCCGAACTAAACCTCATACCGCCACAGTTCCTTATTCAGCTCTGAAAGTATTCGATGCGCTACCTGCTGGTGGTGGCAGAGGAAGGCCTCTTCTGTGCTGAAAAGATGAGGTGCTACATGGAATTTTCAATTGGCGTCTGTTAGCAGAAGAGAAACGTCGGCGTACTATGTTGAACTCTGAAATCCAATGACCGCGCAGATAAAGAAGAAGAACGCGACCCGGTGCTGAAGAAGTAACTAAATTTCAGTGAATCCGAAAGAACCACTGATACAACGAGGAATGTCTAACTGCTGCAGAAAAAAAAAGATGCGACGTACAGGGCTGCGAGCTTTGTATGCATGTGTCTATTTATGTGGCATCTATACAAGAAGCTGGAGAGGAAGCCGATACTTAATTGCTGTTAAAATAGAGGGAGGCAGAAAAACGTGAGTTTTACAGCTTCAGATGCTGGCTGACCCGCATAACACGCGGACATTCTATTAGTAAGTTTAGTGATTTATGGAAGGTTTAAAGACCAGAACGAATTTCTGTAAGACAAACACGGCGAACCAGTAACCTATGTCTAGAGCATGCTAATATTAGCTCTGATCCAGTACTCCATGAACTTACAGGATTTTACACGAACTTGCAGGAAGTTGCAGGAAAAATGTTCCCGTACTCCAAAATCCTGTAAATGAGAGCGACTTTTGGAGAATTGTGTAGAGAATGAAGTCGTAAGATTACACCCGAACTTTTTCTTTTGGTAAAATCATGAAAAGTGTCAAGCAATCACTGGGTGACGTTTTTACAGGAAAAACCACGACCAAGTCAATCTACCACAATTTGCCAAAAGTGTAGCCAATTGTATCTTCAGACCTGGTAAATCCAGCATACGCCAGAGTTGGGAAAGTCTTCGAGTCGCTCAATGCTAAACGAGGTTTAAGACAAGGCGACCTCCTATCTTGTGACTTCTTTAAGCTGATATTGAAGAATATAATAAGAGCCACCGAACTAAATCGGTCGGAAATAATTTTTTGATGATATCGATATGTATTACCAGTCTTAACTGAGCTGAATGAGCGACATCAGAGCAGCAACTTCAAATACATCGGCTACACTGGCTTGGCCATGTAGTAAAAATGGACAGAAACCCTCTGGTCCAGAAAGTATTCAACGCGGTACCTGTTAGCGGTAGCATTGGAAGAATGTGAAAGATTCTTTATCGCTAATTGTCGGGTGCTAACTTTTCTGGTGCTTTCGCCACACTATAGATTAGATAAAACTTTAATTAAATATAAATTCGAGTGTTTTTTTATATTCCACAAAGGAAAGCAGGCAGCTTCTCTGCCGTCTGCGTATTTTTAAAACTTGAAACGTATCCTTTATTACGCCAGGCTGATGGCGTTTATCGATTTGCATACATTTTTTGAAGCGAAATTTCACTTTCTTATTGGGATATTTAACCTTTTATTTTAATTTTATTTTACTTTCCGCACGCCATTTCGTTTCGAGTTATTTCAAAATAATGGCTGGTGGAAGTATTGCAAAATTTACTCTTCTTGGGGGTTGTACGCACATTGTTGTTATTGTTGGTTGTTTATTCTCACACATTTTTGGGCACCACCCAATGCTCAAATGCGCAGTCGCTTTTCTTTGGCGAGTCGTCGGAGAGTATAATTACACACACATGGACACAATCAAAATTTTGAGAGCAAAGCGCAAAAAGGACAATAAGTAACGGCTATGAAGACATTATTTAAATCAATTTAAATACGTACATAACAATGCAGCTGCACGACTACATACATATATGTGTGTGTGTAAATAAATAGTAGATGCGCATTTATTCGCAAATCAACTAAAAAGTTTTGCGGAAAAGTAAATAAATAAAAATGAATATTTTAAGGATTTTATTTGAACACCGATTTAACCAACAAAATCATGATTTAAATTTACTCCAAAATATTTATGTGCGTTTGTATATCTCGTACCTGCAAGCGTATCGCATTTAAATAATAAAGTTGGAATTCGGTAAGGATATTTTATTATTCACATTTTTATTATCCCACAAGTAAATATAAATAGTAGGCGAGTAGATAGTGTGCGGTAAATAAACATATGTATGTTTTATGTATTTACCCTGAAGGAAATATTTATCCAATTGCTCAAAAAGTACAATCATACATATAGTTGTTTTGTATCTAGCCCAAAATTGTAAGCAATGTAATTAAAAACAGGTGAATTGTACTAAAAGTGGTCCGAATGTATTGCATATCGTTAAGGTGACCATCCGTCCTGTATTGTACGGGACAGACCTCTTTTTTCGACAACTGTCCTAGTAATTTATTTATTTTATATGGGACACCAAATGTTCTTTTTTTTTCTTTTAATGTCCTGTTCGGCATTTCCACGCATTAACAGCTCATAAATATTACATGCAAATCTATGAATCAGTTTTAGGTTAAGTTGGCATGTGTGCATATGTATGTAAAACATATGTACATTAGACTGGTCCTTCAATGTAGGAAATACATTTTTACATCAGAATTCATAAGCCTCAACCCTTATGTCGATGCTACTAATACCCAAAATCGAATACCCAAAATCGATGCTACTACGCTGCTTTTACAAATGATCGAAAAATATAAGCCGAATACGGACGATGATTCAGCGCAAATAAATAGGGATCATTGAAGAAGGTTTTGGAAGGTCTGTTAGCTTTCGTGGAAAAAATTACCAAATAATTTTATGGTCACTTTACATATATTTACTAAGTATGAGTTTCGATATAAAATTGATTACAGCCGAGCCTAGGATTTTCAATGTTAGATGTAAATAGAATTTTACATGTGCAAACTTCGGACTACTTACAATTACCTGTAGGCTACTTTGTGGTCTACTCTAAGTTTATTCCGAGATCCTACAGGGTACACCCAAAAGTACATATCTATCGAAGTCAAAATCCATTTCTGTTTTTTGTAACGTCACACCAGCACGTGTGTTTACTAATATCTTTAAATCGCTACCACCAACAGTTGTAATTTTTTTTCTGAATAAGGTGCCATTTAATTGCTATGCAAATCTAGAAAAACCTTTTTGAATCTTTGACTTTTTCAATATTTTTTTTTTTAACATTTTGTCGTACGAGTTTCACGTAACGCCGAGTTGGAAACACGCATATGTATATATGTATGTATATCAGAATCTTTAGTGCCGAATTGCCAGGCGAATTTGAAAGAGCATCATCCTTTGGTACGCAGAGATAACAAAAAAATAATAACAATAGAAAACTGGCAGCGACAAAAAATCGATGAATTCCAGTCGCCAAAATGCATCCCCGCAACAACTCAAGCAGCCGCTGCTAAAAAAGAAAAAATTCTATTTGGTACGAGCAAAACTTTTTCCATTTTCACAGTGACTTAATTCCATTGTCAAGGAATTCATAAAATGTCTGCCAGCGCATATCATTAGCGACAGACGAAAGTAATCAAATCGTAAAATTAATGAAATTAGTTTGAGGTGCGAATTTTTCGCTGATTTTATTTCCCTCCATTCTTGTTTCTGTGCTCTTCTCTTTAAGCTGGCGCTT